AATCGTAGTGCATGTGCTGCGGTGAACGGGAAAGTGTGTAAATCAGTAATAGCGCGGTAATAAGTGTGATTAAGAGAACTTATAACTGAAATGCTAATAAATACAATCATCCAAATTACAATCCCTTATTTTTGTCACATGTACCCCCATACACATGACAGTATCAAAGATCATTGCACTTGATGGTCTCTGAATTCAGTAGTCTTGGTGAGACTGACAGTCATGTAAACACGTTTTCAGTATGTGTGCTAGTGGTATCCCATGACCACCTGCACCCAATGTCAGAAATTTTACAGAACTGCCACCAAAGTTTCTTCACTGATGATGAACACTGTCGTTCAGAAAGCTCTTACAAAATAATCACATTGGAGGGTACAGTGGCCTGGACCATCCATATCAAAACCATTCAGAAAAACAACATTCTGACATCAGAATGTTTATTGAGCACATCCACCACTGAATTTGGAATGTGCGTGTGTCATGAAAGGACCTCGAGGATTATTCTTGTGACGTCACTTTATTACTCAAATCCGTAACTACAGTTCAACATAATTATAACACAAATGTTAAACAAATCGTTTCACAGTCGCTCCTTTCATATCAACAACTCTCACTAGATGTAGAACTCTCCGTCTCTCCATGCTGGCTAACCACTGGCTTCTGTCAACACACAGTCCACTCGGCTTCCACTGTCTTCTCTCAACACAACAGTGCCCAGCTCGGTCCTCAGCACTGCTTTTTATACTGTTGCCGTAGCAGCAGCAGCATCCGCTGTTATGTCGCAGGGGTGAAGTGTTTACTGTCTTGTCGCCTAGCACAGCTCCTCTGCTGTTTTGTCACCATGGGGAAATGTTTACTGGCCTGTTGCCCCTAGCAGCAGCAGTGGCGTCCGCTGTTACCTCGCAGCGGGAAGGGTTTACTGGCAACGCGTGCATTATCACGTCACGCTGAGTCTCCAAAATTGGTACCCATTGCTTTAAGAAACAGAAACAATTCTTCTCCAAGCACATGGAGATAATGACCAGCAGCCACATTATTACTGAAAAATGACATAACAGAACAACTTGCTGACTGAGCACACCACACCCTGCACTTTTCTGATAGGAGATCAGTGGCCCACACATTTATGTTCCACTTCACATCGCCATTCAAATGAAAATGGGTCTCATCAATAAACCTTATGCATAAGGATGCTGCTGGACTGACCCCCAGAAAGATCTCACAGAAGTGAGCTCTCTTGGCTTTTTCAGCCTCAAGTAAGGCTTGTTTCATTTGAATTTTGTACACAAACAGTTTCACATATTCTCATATTATCCTTTATGTTGATGATGCTTCCAAGTCAAATTGTTGAGAAAGATGTTTTACAGATTTCCTGAGACTCTGTGTCCTTACCTGCTCATCACAGTGAATGTTTTCTGATGCTTCAACAGACTTCTTACCAGTAACATCCTTCATATTGTCATTCACACTCCCAGTCTTTTAGAACTTTTTAACTAGTTTGTTTTTTGCAGACTTGCTTGGTGCTTTCCTGCATTCAAATTTCGTTTATAATTGACACTGAACTTTCATAACGCTAGCAGTCGGGTAAAATCTTTTCACCAAAAGCACCCGCTGTTCTGTTGAGTATGCCATCCTGATCACTGTTACTTCATGATATTGCCACCAGGGGAAGCATATTCACACAATTCACAGTTTAACAGTTACTGCCATCTGCAGTATCACAATTACTTTTGCTGTAGTCATTTCCATTCACTCGATACAACTCGTAGCTGCTGGACTTCAATTCATACTGGATACTAGTAACTGGCTCAATACTCACTACTCCTGAATAGTGTTCGCTGCTCCTTATTCAGGCTTGGCACTGATAACATAGAGAAAACCTTGCTGCTCGGCAACAGATATCAAGTATTGCTGTCACGTGTTTCTACCTATGCATTGCCTAGCAATAGTCGCTGCACGGAGTCTCCTGTTGCATGACATCACAGCCTTGTGGGGAGGGGTGGTTACCGAGCGTTGCGTAATGATGGGAGAAGTGGGAGTACGTGACGTCGCTCGTGGAAACGCAGAGTTCATGTGACCCCTACTTCCTGTTGCGCCATTGACGTCACAATATATCTTCTAGGATGTGATCCTGAGTAGCCTATTGTATTAGATGATTACCAAAGTGTTAGAGGAATGTTCTCCCCTGCATTCAGTGTTTCAACTCTTTACAGTGTCAGTTTACAGCAGACAGCAGTCTTAGACCTATATAAAATGTTGAGTTGGTGCTCTCAAGCAGACTATGACCACATCCTTCCAAATCCTCACCTTCATGCCATGCTCCACTTGTATGATATCATGTAATTTTGGCAGTTGAAGTAGCATAATTAAATAACAAAAGAATTAATCAGTACTTGCCTCTGTAATTTAATGTCTAACGCTGTTGTTACATGGCGTAATGAATTGTGAAGATTTGAGTGGTTAGAAGAGTAAACATAGTGAATTTTATGCCACTTTTTCTGGAATGGCCAAGCAAATTATGTGAAAGAAATCTTGATGGGCAGTATTTGAGAGGATTATGAATTTGTTCTTCTTTATTACAATATTACATTTCTGGTGATTTTCTCTATGCTCGTGTTTGAAGTGAAACAGTTGATGAAATCATGATGATTCTCACTACAAGTAATGGAGTGCAATGGCAAATAGTAAAAGTACAGAATATGTAATGGACCAGTATTTACAATTTTTATATGTAAAAGACCTGCAACTACCTAACAAAACAGCTATAGAGAGCAAATTATGTAATATAGTACAAGAAATATCACATTAAAGAAGCCAGATGAGAAAGAACAGGAGGACGAGGAGCTGACTGTTTGGGATTGAGGTGTCTACTTTTTTCACAGTGATGAAGGTTATGAAGAACATCTGCAAGTGATTTGTTGTGTAAGAATTTCTAACAGAAGGTTATCCATGTGATGTTTTGTGAAAGTTGCTTTGAAAAATTAAAGATTTAAAATAAAAATACAATCAGTTTTCAAAAGAATGTGAAATTTTACAAGGGTAAGTAAGTAAGTAAAGGTATCTCTGTAACAGGCCGTGGATGCCCATAGGGTTGTGAGATGTTTAGGTTCCCACATTTTCTAGACAATCTGCTCATACGAAGGGGGACCCAAAAATAACCAGAAACGACCTGTTGCGCGCGCATGCTTTGTAGTTACGAGTTGTGCTGCTAGGTGGTGTTAGCTGGGGGTCTCCCGCGACTGTTAGTGAGCTGGCGTCAGTCTGAGTTAAGTGGCCATAGTGCAGCTAGAAGGATTAGGTAAATTGAAAAAAATCCATTGACCTCATCAGGATTTGATCCCACGACCTTCCAGCTTGTAGCATAGTGCCTCAACCAACTATGCTACCGCGTGCCCTGAGTTACAAGGGTAACTTTATGAATGTTAATGTTAATATGTGATAAAAATCATTAACTTCAGATCATGGTCACATATATGCATATTCTAATTAGGGTGAAAATGGCTCATTTGGTACCAAATAATATTCAGCACCATTATTAACTGACCTCAGTTTTGGACAAAGATTTTAAGTACTTTAAGTTTGAACATCTCTTCGGTCCATATATTCTCCTGAACACCCTGTTCTCAAACACCCTCAATCTGTGATCCTCCCTTAATGTAAGAGACCGAGTTTCACACCTGTACAGAACCACAGGCAAAATTATAGTTTTGTATATTCTAATTTTTATGTTTTTGGACAACAGATGAGAAGACAAAAAGTTCTGGACTGAATTTCCTCCTGAATCAGGTTTCGATCTTAGAGAGATAGGAAGGGATGGTATGGATTGGATAGATCTGGCTCAGGATAGGGACCAGTGGAAGGCTCTTGTGAACATGGTAATGAACCTTTGGGTTCCATAAAATGCTGGGAAATTCTTGAGTAGCTGCAGAATTGGCAGCTCCTCCAGAAGGGCTCAGCTCCATGAGTAAGTAAGTAAAGTAAGTTAAGTTAAACAAGGTGAAGTAATAGGTCCAAACAGAAAATTCTGACTGCCCAATACATTGTGGGTATAATTGACACACAAGTTAACGTGAGATTTGAGGTTCTGAGATCAGGCTCTCCATTGTTTGGTTGATGGAGATGAGTGTTTCAGGGTATCATGAAGATGGAGGCAGCAGATTCCTCTGAATCATCAGTCTGTGTCTGCTGAACTCCATGATGTCGCACCCAAAAAGACTATCTTTGCACTTGAGCATGGGTTAGTGAAAAGTGTAGGAAATGGTAGGCATATTAACTTCTAGTTTTTACAACGTGAAAACAATTTATTTATGGTGAACTCTTTAAAAAACCTATACTCAAATTATGTTGACTTCAGAGTACTGGAATTAACTATGTGAGATCTTATGACAAAAATAATTCAGAATGGGGTTTCTATGGAGAAAACTTTCTTGTGGTACAGTGTTCTGTTATATCTATTTTTGTCAGTACTGAAACACGGAAAGAAACACAGTTGGAATTCTAATAATATGGTGGCCTACAAATATTACTATATATCAGTGAATTTTGGACAGTTAAAGCAAGAATCAGAAATAGAATATAATAAGTAGAGATGAGATACATAAAAACAGACAGTATTAAGAATGAATGCTGTATTAGGAAATAACTGCAAATACATTCAGTACAAAATGAAATATATGCATGCAGACAAAACTGGATAACCCATTTGGATAGTATGACTGATGAAACTATAGCAAAACAAGTAGAATTTGAGGTTTTCACAGTGGTGGTTATGAAGAATACTATTCAGTATGATAACAAATTCTGCACCATAAACAAAGAGGGCACCAAGACTGAGGTGCACAAAGTTAGAAGAGGAACTGAAGAAGACCTAAATGTATCTGTAATGTAAGCAGTCTGGATGATAAAGAGTTTTAGTATGAATAATTCATATCATCAAGGCTTGGTATGATTGCTTAAAATGCTGGAAATTTTCTGCTAGTGTAATTATATATATGTTACAGCTGGTGCCAGGGCCACCATTTGTGTTTGGGGCATTATTGGTTATATGTGCCCTTCTGGTCGCTGTCTTCATTCCAGATGGTACAACCATAGGCAGTAACCTTAGGACAAGCTCTCGACGACAATCAGGTAAGTTGTGTTAGGTGGATTGGATATTAGTAGTATAAAAATGCAAGTACTTGTTGGCATTGTTTGTTTTCTATGGTAATTCTGGTGTATTATGGTAAGTAACAATATTTGTTGGAGATGCTGTGTTGGATGCATGTATGCATGAAATATAGGCTTTAAACACAACACAACAGACTCTTGAAGTACCCCATCACAGTCATGAGATTACTGTGTGGTGTTCCATTACTGTTACATGTATAGTAGGACCCACAGTTTTATAACAGACAGTTAAAAGAAATATATCATTGACATTCTTTGGCCCTTTTCTGAGAACATTACAGAAGGAAGGACATACAGTTATTTTATGCAAGGTGGTAGTACAACACACTACTAATTATTCTTTTTATGTTATAAATGAGATATTTGAAGACAGGCTGATAACTCGCAGACCTGCAAGGTCTCCTGACTTAAAGCCCAGTGATGTTTATCTTCAGGGAATTATAGAAAATGAAGCATACTAAAATGATCCCTATATATTTTGTGAAACAGTTATGTCAGTAGTGGTCAGTGAACTCAAAACTAATGCCAGGTTCTTCGAGAGACTTGAAGTTTGTTTAGTAGCAGAAGAGAGACATTTTGAGTATATATTCTGATAATAACTTTTTATAAACAATTTATTTGCTTGTAGAAATGCACTCCATCTTTATTTTGCTCAGCAGATGGTGTGTAAGGTTCCAGCTAATAGGCTGACAGTGAGAGAATCATGTTTTTCAGGTCTTTGAGAAATATATCATGTGAGGAACAAAAAGAAAATAATGTTGAAAATATTGTAACCATTTAAACACCATCCAACATGAATGCTTGAACATTTTTTGAACTTAATTGTACATTAATTTCTTTTAGTGAAGTTTAATTATGTCCAAGTCATCTTTCATCTCAAATATCCATAGCTTCATAACCATTGAGAATCACATTAGTGTTCATATGACATTTCTGATTTGGAGTGGCTTCAAGAGTAAAATGCTGAAATACTGACAGTCTCCATACACTATATATATATATATTGTCACGTATTTGGGCGTATGACGCGACAAATAACTTTACGCCATATTTGATATAGCAAATTTTATTTCACATTCGCACTTACAATCACTCAAATTACAGATTCACAATTACTGCTATCTGCAGTATCACAAATAGTACACTCCAAATGCCAGAATACAACTGACTGGTTGCTGGCTAACTCGGAATTAACTCGGAGGTAGCTCGAGGACTGGAGAACTGTTGATAACACCTTGCTCGACTACTACTTAACTCGGCGACTGTCACATTACAACTGACTCGCAGCCGCTGTGCAGCTCACTTATATAGCCGCAGTGCTTGCCTGTTGCGTAATGAGTGCCACATCATCCTGTTATGTCACCGCTGTTGACTCGCGTTGCATAGCTACCAGGTTGCGGGGGCTCGGCTAACTTCGGCTCCGCTCGTGACGTCACTGCAGGGAGAGTNAGTGCTGGCTTCCCACAGCCCATGTTCCATCCTGGGTCTGGTCAAGTGGGATTTCTGGTGGACAAAGTGGTGCTGGGGCAGGTTTCCTCTGAGTAGTTCAGTTTCCTCTGCCAATCTTCATTCCAACAATTGCTCCACAATCACCCTCACCTATCTTCTGGGGCTGCTATAATAGGTCAGAAGTGGCCACAGTACAAGGGACTTAGTCCACACCACTAGCCATAAAAAAAAGGGTATCCATGTAACAGGCCATGGGGGCCCATAGGGTTGTGAGATGTTGAGGTTCCCACATTTTCTAGACAATCAGCTGATAGATGGTGGTTAGGTTGTCAGCCTTACACGCTGGCCGCCCTTTACCCCCAAGAATATTCCTGGTACTCATTTCTCTTAGAGGTTGAGTTGACCCCAGGGCCATAGTGCGGCTGGAAGGATTAGGTAAATTGAAAGAAAAAACCAGTTACCTCATCGGAATTTGATCCCGTGACCTTCTGGCTTGTAGCAGAGTGCCTCAACCAACTATTCTACCGCATGGCCCCAACCTGTGTACACATTCAGTAATATATAAAATGTTTCTGTACAGTCATGATAAAATTCATGAAATCTTTTTCCAGCTGCAGCTGCATTTTCAGAAAACTGGAATGTGGAAATTACACATCTCTGCTTTGAACCTTAAATAATGCAACATTAATTTTTGTATAAGTAACCACTGCTCAGTTTATGTGCAGTACTCTGTAATGTAAAGTCTGAAAAAATGTGGAGCTTATTTACAAAACTCATTACAGCTTCTAACATTCTAATTGCCCCAGAATTTTTTTGCTCACTTCCAAAGGGAATATGGCTGACACTTGTAACAAGTTTCATGCATCTCAGATGACATGTTTCTCAAGTTAATAAGGTGTGACCACTTACAGCTCTGAAGCTTTACAATTTTTGAGGTAATTTGGATGTGCCTACAATGATAATTTTTTAAAGTTTGCAATGAGCTATTATAGTGTTTTTCTCAGTGTGTTATCAAATGAGTTATTAGAGAAAAATCTCAAACATCTGCCTTTTCTACCCTTGTTGGGGTGATTTTTAAACACTTGTTTTTCAGATATCACATTTCACAAGTTTATGGTTCCATGACCAACAATAACAGATTTTGGATTGGAATTATTGACACCTTCTTTACAGTCTCTCTTAAACACAATCAAATACAACAGCTCACAATAAATGACTACCTAGGACTCGCTCCATTCTGGCTGAACTACACCTGTCTTCTCTTCTAGACTGTCTTCTACCGCAAATAACTTCTCATATACGGATAGTGCAGTGTTATCTGAATGGCCTCTTATGTAGTGTAGCATATTGTAGGAAAATATTTGTTGCTTGCTCGGACCCATGAACACTTTTTTTGCTTCTGCAGCAACGGATTACCACTTTGCATATCCATGGACACATTTAATTAAGACCCAGTGATGGTTTGTGTCCATGTAAACATGTTTGCCAATTCATCTCTGAAAAGTTCAAGTGCATATGGAACCAGTATAATATTAGGACTGTCTTCAAAGCTAAACACACTTTATGATCTATTTTTGAACACTATTCAGTAGTACCCCCTCGTTGGTGTCTCCACCTTATCGTGGTGAGGGGGTTTTAGTATGTGAGGGACCCTGAGAGCTATACCAGCGGTAGTGTGGCTACAGGCAGGGCCTCCCTTGCTGGGCATGTCAAAGGGTAGGCATCAGATGAAGAGAGACACCAAAAACCAAGAACTGATGCCAGAAGCAGCGACTTGAAGCACAGAGCAAATGATGCTCGAGATGGTTCAATGATGGTTCAAATTCGTATAGCAACAGGCATGACCAGATTGGTTTGAACAGCTGTTGTACTGCGATGTGGAAAGCAAATGGAAAAACTACCATATTATCACTTTTCCTGGATAGTCCCTTTCCAAAAACAGACGCCATATATGCGAACCAGAAGACGAAGAAGACGTAAGAAGATGCTGGATGACCTTGGGGACAGAAGAGGATATTCTCATTTGAAGGAGAAAGCTCTAGATCGCATTAAGTGGAGGAACTGTTTTGGAAGAGACGGTGGACCTGTCGTCTGACAGAGTACTGATGAATGAATTCAGTAGTATTCAGTATGAGTTGGAAGTCCAGGAGCTACAAATTGAGTTGTATCAGTGAATGGAAGTGACTACGTGAGGAGAAGCAATTGTGATACTGCAGATGGCAGTAATTGTGAAATTGTGAATTGTGTAAGTGTAAGAGCGAATGTACAATAAATTCGCTAAGATCCAAAGTGACGTGAAGTTATTTGTCGCTTCAAAAACACCCAACATGTGACAATATAATCAAACAAAAATAAATCCCCAAAGCCTTGTTGAACAATTCAGTGCACAACATAGAGACTTGCAATTCACAATAACTGAGGAAGTAAACAACCAAATAGCGTACTTGGATTTAAATGTAATTAATAAACATGGACAAATAGAAATGGAAATATACAGAAAACCTACGACAGATGTAACAATAAATAATAACTCATGCCACCCAAAAGAACAAAAATTAGTGGCATATGAAAACTGGATACACAGACTTCTCACATTACCCCCTTAAAGAAAACATGAAAAACAAAGAAATTGTATTTTTAATATAGCACTAAATAATGGTTATAGGAAGGAAGACATCTTACGTTTATATAACAGACTCAAACAACGGAAATATAATCTGGAAATTAAAACCGAAAAATAAAAATGGGTCACATTTACCAACACAGGAAATAATATATGGAAAATCACAAAACCATTAAAAAACACCAACATAGAGATAGCCTTCAAAAGAACCTCCACCACAGGTAAAGTAGTAAATGTGAAATGAGAAACAAACCCCCCATGATCAGGGTGGGATATACAAAATAACCTGCCAGAGCTGTCAAAAAGTATACATTGGCCAAACTGGTAGAAATTTAACAAGATATAAGGAACTCATAAGAAATATAAGATTAAACAAAGATGAATTTGCATATGCCCAACATATACTAAATAAATGCCACCAGTATGGACCTATGACAGTAATCATGAAAATGGTTGAAAATGCTAAAAAGGGAGCATCATGAATATAAAAGAAAACTTCCACATATATCCTTTTAATAAACTCAATAAATTGATAGAAGAACAAAACTTACATGGGAGAATGATAACCCGTACAGTATGTTCAACATAATAGTAAGACATCAGTACACGCCCACACAAACGTTATAACGCACAAGGAGTACAAATACATGACTCAACACACCTTAGAACACTACAACAACAGCCCACCCTGAACAACAACAGGATGACACAAAAGGTAGGATGAAATAACAAACGCTCACATTGAGATAAAATGGGGATAATGGAAATACTACATTATACAATTTGGAACCACAAGGTGGTAGACGCTCGACTTTAACATATTAGTACATGCTGCTGTAATTGTTTAAATATTAGATTTTGTATTCATTGTATTATGATAACATTGTATGTATATATTAATATTCACAAAACACATTGTAATATTGGTTTCTAATTGTATTGATATCCTTCTGGAGATGGTCTATAAGACCGAAACATGTCAAGGATAAAAGATTAAAAAGGAAAAGAAAAAAGCATTTTATCAGTCTCACTGGATGGTGTTAATTAACCTTTATAATATTGCTAATGTGACAGACCAGGATGAACTACATCAAACTTTTAGCTTATGTTTAAAGTCTTTACATCCGATTTTCTTAATTCCAAATGCAGTTTATTATACAATTTAATACCCATATTGATAACGCTTTTCTTAAATGTTGTATTCTGTGCTGCTCAACTCTTTGACTTATTGTGCATCATTTCAAGCTGTTAGTGTGTAAGGGTATGTAGTGGCTGCATGAAGAATGGCTGGGTCAATTAAAACTTAAACCCACTTGGTGCTAACCTGCTTGCTGAGGCTTGTTGTGTGTCCTGTAGATGTGGGCAGCTGTGCAGCAAGGAGACGAGACAATGCTGAGGATGACATGGCAGATGACCCCACATGGTTCCACCGCCCTAAACTGAGACTCCAAGGTGCTGTGATAATGTAATGGTGTGCATAGTTTGTAGATACATGTTCTGTCTGCTGCCGTTATCCCCCTTGTGATGCATGGTGGAAGGAGCTACATTAGGATGTTTTCCAGTCATTCACTCATGATCACTAAAAGACCATTCTTCCAATACCTGAATATTGTGAGGTTTGGTGTTTTAGCATTGGTGAGTACTCATATTGTGGTCATCTATACATGTAAGTGAATACCACTCAGCAACATGCTGCTCTTGTCTTTAGTGTTGGAGTGAGTGTTCAGGTTGTACACTCACAGGAGGGGAGAGAGGACATAAAAGAGTGCTGTTTGTGCCAGCATAAACAGTGAACAGGAAATGCGGAGACATCAGCCCTGTTTAGAGCCTCTGTATGTAAGATAGATGGAAAACAAACCTTTATCACACAGACTGGTCACATTGTTTTGCACAGAGTTGCTGACAGGCATGTTTTTTAATGATTGCATAGTTTCTGTATGTTTGAGTTCATAATTATGTTGGCCATATTCATAAATGGAAATCAGTTTATGTAACTGTCCAGTGTATACCATGAGTCCATGCCTGTATGAAAATATTTCACTCTTTTTTGATGATTGCAGGAAGTATGACTACACACTCAGTGTTTAACTCTTTCTGTACTGCAGGTGAACATACTTTGTACATCAATGTGTAATGTTACATCGGATCACAGATCTTGTCTTTTGACATTCTGTATTCTAAATTAGCCAGAAAGCTGAAAATGGAATGAGTTGAACAGCAATGGTGTGTGTTGTATGAACTCATCTGTATTTAAACATCAGAATAAAGTTGCTGGTCTCTCAGTTTTACTTCACCAAATGAGGTTACTTTGAACCATGAATTATGTGCTTCATTACAGGTTTTGGTGGTATGTAGAATGTATGACTCAAAGTGAATTCAGAATTTTGTGATTTTTTTTATATGAGTATTGTATAGATATAATTGATCAGTGGGGTAGAATGTCATATGTCTGGATCTTGCCCACAGGTCTATCAATGGAGTTGCAGTATGAGGTTCAGCAGAGCAAGAAACATGATGGAATCAGTCCACTGTCACCACTGGTTGACAATTCAGCAGTGCTTTAGTCAAAGAATTTGGATCTGGTTGGGTCGATCACCTAGGTTTCTTGCTTGGAAATCCAATGTTTAAAAAAAAAACTGCTTTGAATTCTGGAACAGGGTTTCTAAAGCAGTCAGAATTACCTCAGTAGTACCAACATTGCAATGTGAAATGTCCTTATTGTGATTTATTATGAAGTGCTTTATTATTTCATGAAAGTTGCCTCCAGCCACAGTCTTTCTTTAACTTTCATTATGTTGACAGATAGTTAATTGATATTTACAGTCAAATTCAGCCGTAAGAAGACAGGTATTATTTTATGATTTTCTTTGCAATTTTATAACACTTCTTTGAGCAAGACGTCTGAGGTATGCTGAATGACTAATCAGAGCAGGTGGCCTGCTCCTTTGTTGTGGAATGGATATTTTTTCTATGCAAGACAATTGTTGGTTGCTTTCAGACTTTGACCTAAGGAACTCTTACATAAATATAATCAGTACACCTCTAATATTGAGCTTCATGAGACTTAGGTCATTATTTTTAATATTGTTGTTACATTTACAGAGTATTTTATTTATTGAGAATACCACTTATATGAAAGCATAGCCTTGTTTGCCAGAAACTTCTACATGCATAACATGACAGTATTTAGTTTGTTCAGTTCTCGAAACTTCTGATGTTGGCACAGCACCAAACTGAGGCTTGAAGTTAGAAGTGACTTCGTCATTTAATGAATTACATGATTGCAGGAACATTTTCATTGTGTATCCCAGCAATTCTCTAGGTCCATCGTTACTTTTATTACTTGGTCCTGCAGGCTAAGTATTGCCTTTGCTCAACATTACCTGTGAGTTAAAATATGCCCATCAACCCTGTAGAACTGGGAGATTTAGAATCCACTCATGTGGTAAATCGTGCCCACAGATATATATGAAGCCCATAGCACTGAGAGATGATTAAACCTAGACTTTTGCAACTAGGGCACACACACAGAGGATGTCTGGGACTTATATGGGACAGTTGCCTATATTGTACCAGTTTTAGTAAGGAAGTGTGTTCAGTTTCTGCCAATGTGAATGTTTTAGCACATGGCCAGAAGTTGTAGTATGAAATGTGTTTCTTCTGAGATTTTTATTCATAAACCATTTGGATTTTCTAAGCACTTATAAAATATATAGCAAGTGGTACAATTTTGGTAATACTTCCCAAATCATACCATGCTTTCCTTAATCATGCTCCTATAATGTAATGGAGGAATAACAATTTTTTTTTTGTTTAAGTTTTGTTTTCTTACTATTGCTTAAACATGTCTTTTACATACAGGAAGAAAACATTAAAACATAATGGAGGACAGTAATATCAGAGAGGTGAAGTAGAATGAAGCTTGGCCTTCAGGATTTCTATTAATGTTAACATAATATGAAATCTAGAAAAATTAAGCAACAGTCAAAAGAAAAAAATATTAAGCACCAAGATAGGCCACTGCTTTATTATTTAAGCTTTACAGAGCTCACTTGCAAAAGATGTTTAGTTTCTTTCTTGCTGAGCTTACTTCCCCTCACTCATCCACTTATTTCCATCTCTAATGCAACATAGACTTTTATTTTAAATGTCACTACAATAACACATAATTTCCTAAAGTGCGATTTTAATAACATTTTAAATAAACGTTTATGTTGCATTATAGATTAAAACAAGTGAGCGAGTGATGCATCAGTGCAACAGGATCCTGAAATATAATACTACTTCGTCTGTATTTTTCATGTGCTCATTTATTACACATTGAGCAAAGGATGGTATCTTCACTGACAGTTTCTTGGCATAAAAACTAGACAGTTCTTCATTAGAATTTTTAACCAAGCTCGACCTGCTTTTAGCTCCCTTTGATTTGAGTGGTTTTGCTGCTTCCTTTGTGCCTCTCTTGCAATCCCTTTCTGCTTGCTGTACTTTGCCATGTCTAGGGCCTACTTGTGAGGGCTTGAAGTCAAAACTGTTGGTTCATGCACATTTTTTTTTACCTCTGTCCTTCACAGTTTGAGGTAGACTTAGTAAGGGGGCTTATTTGTCCAGTGTAACTGCAAATACTGAAGGCTGTATTGTGAAACTGTGCTTCTTGCCAATTATTTGTTTCATTTGGGAGGATAGAAGTTATTTATTCTGTTATCACTTCAGCACAGTTTATGTTTATCACTAGCCCAAAAATCATGGTCTGAAAAACTGAAGAGTCAACTGAATATACATATCTTGCTTGAAAGTCATTCATTGCATGGCATATAGTTGTTACTTTTCCGTGTGCTCCCACCCGCAGACTTGTTTCAAACATTGTCACTATTCCATGGGTTAGTGCATAATGACTGGGCCCAGTCTTGCCTGATTGGCTTCTATCTTAGTCAGCAGGTGTTCCACCGTTTGTTCCATTGTTTAGTATGAAAATATAGCTACCTACTGTGGTCTCCAATCCAACAATTTGATCAATCCAGTCTCACTAACACCAGTTGTCACATAATGGAGTGACTGTTGACAGGGTTTGGATTGGTAACTGGATTTATTGAATGCTTACAGAGAATAACTACAAGCAACTATAGCGTTATCTCTAATTCACACACTCGGCTGTTCACTACATCATGTTCTAAGTCTTCACAGTCTGCTGTGGCTTCACCAGCCATTATCTGATAATGGCATCCAGTGCTGTAGATCACTCAATTTCCGTGTTCATGTCCATACTGGCTGGCGACTGTCTCACAGCTAACTCCACAGGCTGGTGGCCATCTTTCATCGACCTCCTGCTCTTCTGATTGATTCAGACTCAGTTGACTAAACTCTAGACTTGTCCTACTTATAACTCCTCGGCATGGACCACACAGAAAACAAGCTCCCAACAGTTCTTTTGTTGTTGCATTATGCAGCTGTTGCACAGACTGCATGGAGAACACCGGTTCACAGTTAGTGCAGTGGTGTGTGTTAGGAATCTGTTGCCTAGCAGCAGGCATTGTTTACAGAGTCATTGCTTGGCAACAGGTCTCCGTGCTACATTATGAAGCATTTCATCATAACTTTGAGACTATAACTTTAGTTCGGTTATATACATTTTGTTATAAACAATTAAGGGCTTAAATTACTGTCTGGAAAAGGTGCAGTTTTGTAATGTGAGTGATGGAACCAGCTTCTCAGTAAAGGAGAACTTATGTTATGCAGTTTTGAGAAGACGTAATTCTTATTTAATAGTAATTTTAAAACATGATACTTATTAAGTGGTATGTAATATCCCCTGAGCTAACCATGGTAGTGTTTTGCTGAATTATGTTCCTTATGGTAATTATAGTAAGTCTTCCATACCATTAGGAGCCAGGATAGCGTAATTGGTATAGCAACTGGCTGCAGGCTGGATGACTGAGGGGTGAGAGTTCAAGTCCTGGTAGGGTCAAGAATTTTATCTTCTCCACATCATCAACACGGGCTGTGGGGCCCACCCAGACTCCTATCCAGTGGATACTGGGGGCACTTTCCCTGGGGATAAAATGGCAGGGGCCTGAAGCTGACCCCTGACCTCCAGTTTGTGCCGAGGTCAAGGAAATGTGGATCTATACATCCACTCCCTCACAAGCCTTCATGGTGTAGTGCTTAATTAGTTAAGTACAGGGACAACTTAGCATTTCTACCTTTACCTTCTCTATCATTATACATCTCCTGTGCAGAGTGCCCTGTTGTGTCAGAACAACTTAGTGAAATTTATTTGAGTAATGTTTTTTGGGGACATACAATAATTTTGTTTCCTTCTAAAATTAAAGAACTCTTCTTGTCAGTCTGTTCCACAATAGGTTAGAGCACAGAGAATAATTTGACATTGTGCTTCAAGAGGATAATGTCCTACCTTTGTCCTTTACATGTTCATCTTAGTGTGCTTGTGGGTGGACTTCATCACCAGAGGAGGAAGTACTGAATTATAAAAAAAAAGCTGGATTATATGCCATTTGTAATTTTCTGTACATAATAAATACAAAGTCTTATGAACAAAACACTGATCTAATGCTAGTTGTTGTGAAGGTACATATTGCAGAATTAGATGCTGATTTAAGTGGAAAACATGTACAGGAGTTGTTATTGTTCATTTTATTTACTTTGTCAGTTATGTCTGTTGGAAGGCTGTGCTAATAATCTAATTAGTGAGGTGTGTTTATGCTGTCATTCTGTCAGTATGTACATCATGAGATGGATGCTGCTTGCATAAGATTCAAATGAAATTCCATTACTGTACCAGTATAAGAAACCTTTCTAATGATGAGCACTGTACTCTTACATAGTTCCCAAAACCATTCATATAAATCTATTTTACTTCATAATGAACTTAGAATGTGCAGCATGGGGTAGCACAGTTGGTTGAGGCACCGTGCTTCAAGCCAAAAGGTAGCAGGTTTGATTCCGGTTAAGTTCATTAGATTTTTCTATTGACTGAATACTTCCAGCTGGACTATGGCCCTGGGATCAACTCAGCCTCTAACAGAAATGAGTACCAGGAATCTTCCTAGGAGCAAAGAACAGCCAGCGTGTAAGGCTAACAACCTCACCACCATCTATGAGCTGATTGTCTAGAAAATGTGAGAATCTCAATGTCTCACAATCCTGTGGGCCTCCACAGCCTGTTACAGGAATAGCTTTATGAACTTAGAGTGTGCAATATATAGTGGAAGAAAATGTTGCTGCCATAGTAACCATTCAGTTGAGATTTTGTAGTTTTATGATCTCTTATGTATTAAGATAGTCCAGCAAGTATTGACATGTTGCATGTGACCCATTGTTTGTTTGTAAGCTACAGGAAACAGCAATTTTTAAAAAGTTTTACAATGGAATCACATTTAGTGTTACTTAAATCTAGCCTTTCCTCATTTTACATTCACTTTCAGTATTCCCAAGTTAGTAATCTCATTGTTGAATTACTTTCTTGTAATGTTTTTCCTGAGCTTAGTTTTCAAATCCATTTCTCCCAAAAGACACCTTAAATAGGGGTTTCCCTCTAGATGATATTGTATGAGTAGATGCATTCTGTTAACCTCACTTCAGTTTAGTCATGACTGTACTTACATGTGGCCTATGCTAAGTGCCTTATAGATTCTTGTCAGTTGGTAGTATTGTCAGAATAACATGGGAATGCTTGTGATATGGCTGTGGCCATGTGTGTGTATGTTTCCATATTTTGTTTCAAAGTTATTAAAAATTATAGTTGTTTGAAAGTAATACATTACATCATACATGCATTCTGAGGTTACATCTATCCTATAGAGATATTAGGCTTTCAGACTTTATCCATCGTCCTGGCTTTTAGATACCTAAGAAAAACACGACGTTTTGGAAACGACATGTTTCCGTCCTCAGGTGAAGGAAAACACCTATTCTGTTGGGTCCCTTAGAAAGAGCTAGCCTCAATAACTGGACCAGCTCTTTCTAAGGGACGCAACAGAATAGGTGTTTTCCCTCACCTGAGGATGGAAACAGATCCAGTTTCCAAAACGTCGTGTTTTTCTTAGTTATCTTAAAACCAGGACGATGGATAAAGTCTGAAAACCTAATGTCTCTATGTGTTATACACCATTGGCAGAATCCTATAGTAACTATTTACATCTATCCTGTATGACCCATAGGATAATTCAAATGAAATCATGAAAGATCATCCTTACTCTGCTATGCTGCTGGTACTCTTATCATTGCGTGTTGGAAGCTTTTACTGAACTCCCATTCATTCAGTTGCTAGCTGACGTCTCACATCGGTTGTGTTTCTTTGTTCAGTGAATACAAAGAATTAAAAGAGAAACTTGAAAAGAAAAATTCTGTGTGTTCAGAACTGTAAGACCTGCATATCGCAGTTAATCCTTGATGGTACCTGCACCCTGCTTCAATCTTTCAGGACTCTTTCCTGCACTATGATCTATATATATATATATATATTAGGGTGTAGAAAACCGAAAATTAACGGCTGTGGGGATTTGTTGCTGAGACCACATGACACCCTCTATCCTCTAAAGTTGGCACTAACTTCGCCAGCAAGCGGTGGTCGCTCGATCTGTATAAGTCGCTTTGCGGACTAAAGCCATGGAGTTTGTTTTTTGTTTGTTTCTCACTTTTCCAGAAGGTTGAGAGTGGGCTGTAGGAATGCTGCATTTGCAGTGCAGTTCTTCAGATACATTAAATCATTAACTTTGTTTGAGGTAGACAGTTCAGTCCAGAAGCCTACCACATATGACTCCACTACACTACAGCAAAGGTAACTTTGGATAAAAGCCCACCTTAATCTTTGATACTGTATTTATATTTGCATAAGATGAAATGAACTAAGAAAAAAGAGGCTTTCAGATCTGAAATGTTTTTGAAATAGGACTTTAACATTTTTAATGTAATGGTTGTTTCCATCACTAATCCTAATCATATGTAAATATTACCTTTAATTATGTGAACACCATGGACTGGTCTCCTGAAGAAGTAGATAGTCACTGAGCTAGTCCATAAATTTTCTACGTTTTCTGGAGCCCAGGTGTTCATTTCCTGTTCACAGCAGTCCATCACTGGGTCTTGTTCTGAGCCCAGTGGATTTACTCCACATTATCACAGCTTGTGTTTAAGTTCCATGTTAATATTATCCTCCCATCTGCACCCATGTCCTGCAGGCAGTATCCTTTTTTCAGGTTTTTTTGATCAGTATTTTACTTGAATTTCTTGCCTGCCATACATGGAAGACTACATGCCCTGTAAATTGGAATATTCTGTTTGAATTTACTCCCTTTTTGTTTTGTCTTCCTTGAGGTCTGTACCATCGGACATCAAGCAGCAAGCACTTCAGGACACGAGTCTTATGTACAGTTATAATTACAATAGGTGTTTGTAACAATGAAAATATACCAGTATAATACCAGTGCACTTCTTAAACATGCTGTTTCATGTATTTTTGTTGAATTTTTAATTTGCCTTGCTATGTGCCAGTCATTTTAAGTTATATTGAAAGTTACTATATAAAACAGGCAGAATATCTGTATGAGGTGAATTTGTATGACTGAATTTTAAGAAATTTGAAATAGTAAAAAAAAATTAAATATAGAATATTAGAATGGTAAAAATGCCAACTTCATTACCTGAACCATAGAGCATATTACTGTTAGATATCAGTTATGCACAGTACAATAGGATTGTAGAAGGAATCAAACCACCATTTGTACGAAAGTTCCTGTCTGGCATAACTAGTGCAGATAAACAGTATTCTTGTGCTACCAAATCTTGCATCCCTGGTCATTCTATAGCAAAGCATAAAGCTTGACTTGCTATCAGTATTCATGTTGGTAGTACTGCTACATTAGATATATGTTAACATAATGTGTAACTTACTAGGTTTAAGGACATTTGACACATATTTGCATGTTGGTATTCAGAAAGCTTCATCTGCTCCAGACTGTGTGTGTTGGCACAATGTACCATTGGTACTCTTAGTGGCAGTGAAAGTGTAATGTTTGAGACAATAATGCATTGATAGATTATCCTAAGATAGAGGTGAAAGTGTTGGTGCACTGTACATGTTTTATAATGGTGTATGTTCACATTTGAGGTAATTCCTGGAGTTCAGGCCATGGGTCTGTTTCCCATCATGTACGGCAAGGTGGCACCAGGAACTTCAGATAGTGGTCAGTGACCTGCAGCAGATAAAATGTACTAATGTATAAAATATTGTATTTTTAGAGTTTGTTGATAATCTGCAAGTTCCATGTTTGTGTGTGTTAACTATGGCCAGAGCCATCCTTAGTGATTGTTGGTGACTGATCATTGTGGTGATAAAATTTAAAGCAATTTATTTTGTGTTGTGACATCTTCAGATTTCCTAATTACCAAACATTATGAATGACTGAAACACTTTTTCCGTTCATTGTCCACAACATGGCACTGTAATTTCCTATCGATGGTTACTGCAGCACTGTATGGTTTACACTGCAAGGTTAATGCACAGTCCAGAACAAACTGCAGGCCATGTGGGACAGTAATAGTTTTTCTTCCTGCATTTTGTGGTTGTAATCCATACAGTGTTTTATGTTTCTCGTTTATATACTGATGGATAAAGTGTGGTTATTTTCTTCAGTTTTTATTTTCTGTCGACTGTGAATGAATCTTGTCTCTGAAATTATAAACTCCAAACACAAGTCTTTCAGCCAGTCTCCTCCAAATTTGTGTATCATCACTGTTTGATCATTTAATTCTTCTGTCGATGGACTACAGTATGTAGGAATTTACCAGTGGTAGTTCCCAGGCAGCAAAAACAGAGTCATCCCTACCACTTGACCTCATATTCTTATAAAGCAGTACACTAGTAATGATTAATGGTAATTGGATTGGCACCTCCATTATGTTCTCTTATCACGTACACATTACTTGTGATTCC